TTTATTCTTTTTGAAAAACTCTAAAACCAATTTGGCTTCATGTTTAGGATTGTTACCCTTTTCGTATATCTATCCTTGAAGCATTTTCTCTTTTGCATAAGGCAATATAATAATCTTACATATATCTTTGCACTTTTCTTGATTTATAATATCAGTAAATTTATGGAGCTGACAAACTCCATCTCAGCTAAATATTCCCAAACCATAAAAATACCTCCTCCATGTTTTACAGTTGGTAGTTGGTGTTTAGGATTGTATCTTGTATCTACTGTTCGTATCTTGTACCTACTGGATGTCTTATACCTACTGGACATCAAAAATACCTGATTCCATCAGATCCAAACAGTATAAACTTGCTTTCGTCAAGTTGTGTTCATAATAAAGAAAATGTTTAAAAAAAAACATTTGGGCTGAATTTTTTTGATTAAAACTAAATAAGGAATGCACACCATTAGTTTTAAAATTCATGTTTTAGTCAAAGCTCGCCGTCTCCATTTTTTTTTGGTTCTTGGAGTCTGTATAATGTTGGCCGCAATCTGCAGACTTGATAATTTATTCTGTGTGTGTTTAATTCATAACAGTTTCAGTATATGGCACCATAGTATAAATTTTTTCTTTTAAGATATTGTATTGTTTTTTTACCACAATCACCAAATCATTTTAATTGTATATCTTTTTACTAAATCCCCAAAAAAAGTTTGTGATACAAGTAAAAATTAAATTCATAAAAATTTATAAAAATAAAAATTTAATATATAAGGAGTATTTGCAGTAAATCATACTGATTTAAACAATATAAACAATATAAACAAGATACTAAAAGAATAATTTTACTAAAGCATATAAATTAATTTAAAGTATAAACTGAATAAAAAACCAGTGACTTGTATAAAACATATAAACTGAACTAAGTAGAAAATAAATATTAAACAAATTATTTTTTTAACAACCATACAAATCAAACTAAATTAAAGTTAAAACAAATATTTGTACTAAAATATACAAAAAAAAGTATATATATAAGTATAAAAATGAAGAATGGCATTAACTTGTTCGCTACCAGCAAAATAAAAATCTTTTCGTAGCGACCGCACATAGCTCTTATTTTTTCTTGACTATGTAGAGAATTAATTAAATCTTAAGAACAAATTATGTGTCTAGAATAGAAATTTATGTACAAAACAAGACAAATGGTAAAGCATACTCGAAAGCCGCTACCAGAAGCTTGCGGTAGTGAAAGAGTTAATAATAAATATATAAATTAAATTTATATTAAACATAAAGTGAACAACTCTATTAAACCATATAAACTAAATATAAAATGAGAAACCACATTATACTGCCTTTATTTTTTTCTCTGCCTGCGAACTCTAATAATCACAAAATATGTAAAATTGTGACATGATTTTGGCTAACTTCAATTATAATTATATTTGTATAATTTTTTACTAAATCAAAAATATTTTTTGTGGTTTGATAAAAAATTATAAAAATATTTGATTTTATGATTGTAGTAGAAAAAATACTTATATCTACAACAAAAAAACGCTATCTTAAAAAGATATAGCGTTGACGTCATATACTGAAACTGTTATAAATTAAACGCCCATAGAATAAATTATCAAGTCTGCAGATTGCGGCTAACATTATACAGATTCCAAGAACCAAAAAAAAAATAGAAAAGTCGAGCTTTGGTTAAAACCATAATTTTAACTTTGTTGGTATACGTATGCAAGTAATACATTAATTTATAATAATTGTCTGTTTATATTTAAAATTTATTGAAAAAAATACAACTCTGTTTTTAATGTAATCGTTTTCTCCTTAATTCTATATATATATATATATATATATAAATTAATGTATTACTTTATATATATATATATATATATATATATATATATATATATATATATATATATATATATATATATGTATATGTATATATACACTTACTAAAGCGTGTTTTGATAAGCATTTGCTCACTTTTTCTGCTTACCTTAAGCTATACCATTTTTTTCGAAAAAGAAGAAGAAAAAACGAAGAATGATGAATGAAATAATTGCTTCCCCATCCCAAACCCTCAGTCGATGTAGCAGCACTCAACTGCGAGTCAGGCTATTTGTCAGGTGATGTATGTACTGAAGCCCCCAGCAGCAGGCTATTTCAGTATGACGTCAGATTGCTTACAATAGTATGCAATACTATTTGTATATATATATATATATATATATATATATATATATTATATATATATATTTATGTATATATAAAGTAATACATTAATTTATAATAATTCTCTGTTTATATTTAAAATTTATTGAAAAAAATAAGACTCTGTTTTTAATGTAATTGTTTTCTCCTTAATTCTCCTCATTTTTTCTTTCAAAAAATTGTCATTTGCAACCAAATCTCCTTAAAGATTAGTAAAATATTTCCTTAAATCTCCTTAAAATCCTTACTTTTAGTCTCAGTTTTAATTGTGGGAACCCTGACGTATATTATGTACTGTACATAATATACGTCAGGGTTTATTTAGTAAAAATTTATTACTATTTGAAAAAAAAAAGTAGCACTATTTGCTTAGCAAATAATGCTATTCGCTTAACGAACAGTACTATTTGCTTAACGAATAGTACTGTGTTCTTATAAATATTGTTTAAGATATTGTTGAAGAATTGTCGCTTATAAATTGTCTATTGTTTGTCTGAAGAAATTAAAGTTAAATTTTTAAAACAGAGTTTCAGTTTTAGTTGAAGATTCTCTTTTTAGTCTTTTTTGTGAAAATTTATTGTTATTAAAGTTTGAAGATGCTTTATTGACCAATACTTAGCTTACTGAAGACCATCAAATACTTTAAGGTCTTTATGGAAGTAAACATTTATACTTCATCTAATAGTGAAATTTCATCATACAATATTTTTTCTGACAAAGAATAAAGTAAAGTTCAAAATTTGACTGGTAGTTTGTGCAAAAACTTTACTCTAAGTTCAAATTTTCTGAATCTGAGAAGCAACAACAACACATGGAAATCAGCATGCGAATTTGATTTTGATTGAAATTGAATTGATACTCAAATATATATTGATACTAAGAACAGAACAGAATGTGAAACAATTTTTTGTAAACAAAGCAAATTTTTTGTAACATCAATTAACAGCAGTGCTCTGGTTAATGAAATGAAATTTCAATGTTAATGAAAAGACTCAGTTATTAAGTAGCTTAAACAATACATGTTTACTGAAGTACTGAAGTGCAAATTGATAAAGAAATATCTTTCTCTCTTCTTGAAAGTATTCTTGTTTTGTTTATCAGAGTAAAAACCGTTTCCTATGCTAAAGTTTTTCATGAGAAACATCAGACCAATATGTGACAAGCATCCAAATATTCTATAAGAACATAATTAAGAAAAGCATTGTGTAGCAATTTAGTTGATCCATAACTTTGGTCTTTAGTTCTTCAGCCATGTATGTAGTTCACTCTTACTAGGTTGGCATTAGATTTTTATAATTTTTCTCATAAAAGTTAACATATGAGTTTTTTTTATGGAATTAATAAAAACAATGACCTGACGTAAAAAAACTACCTGTTCACAACCTTAACATCATTTGAAAGAATGTAAAAAAGTATTTTTACAGTCTCTATAAACCAATTTCAAACCCTTGGGCATGGATGTATACTTTTAATGACATCCTCTGTGTATGTATGCATTGTTTATTAGAAAGTTGAGACCCCCCTTCCTCCAGTAAAAACTCAAAACATTAAAAAAAAACAAGATCAAAACTTTTTTTCTAATTCAACATTTTTTCTTTATTTAATTAAAAGGGACGACTGAATAAGCGCGAGTTTCATAAGAGCGAACTGGCATAAGTGCAAATGGCGTAAGCGCGAATTGGCATATGTGCGAACTGGCATAAGTGTGAAGCGTTGCAAAAACTGGCATATATGTGAACTGGCATATGTGCAAATTGACATAAGTGTGCCAAAGCATTTTGCAAACATTGGCATATGTGCAAATTGGCATAAGTGGGAACTGGCATAAGTTGAAGCAGTTGCAAAAACTGGCACAAATGTGAACTGGCGTATGTGCAAATTGATATAAGTGCGCCAAACAAATTTGCAAACATTGGCATAAGTGCGAAATACTAACTTGCACTTATGCCAATATTTGAAATTTTATTCAGCGCACTTATGCCAATTCACGCTTATGCCAGTTTGCACTTATGCCAATTTTTGTAACTTCTTCGCACTTATGCCAGCTCGCACTTTATTAGAATACTCTTTAACATTTAGTTCATGACAAAATTTGATTTTTACCAAATATAATTAAGTTACTGCAATAAAGTTCTTTGTTCTTTAATAAAAAGTTTTTGTAAACAAAATAATCACAAGTTTTAGGAACAACATCTTCTTCTTCTTCTTCTTCTTCTTCTGAAAATTTTAACTCTGCAATAAGTTCAATAACTTTTATTCCATAGGAAAATTCTAAAGATTCTATTTTAAAAATAAGCTGCAAAAAAAAAAAAAAAAATTGAAATGATCTTTTCTATTTCCAATATAAATTATGTTAATATTTATTATGTTAAATATAAAATTAGATGCTTTTTTGAAATGGTTTCATTTCATTGTTTTTTTTTTGAAATGGTTTCATTTTATTGTTTTTGTAACAATATCTGAGCATGTTATATAAAAATCAATATATATGTTTTATAAAAAAAACAACATTATTTAAGTTCTATAAAGTTGTAAAGAATATGCAATCTTGCAAATTATTATTTTTATATATAACAAGCAATATGTAAAACAACGAACATCATTTAACATAATTAAAACTCAGTGTAACTCATGTTTTTACTTACAAAGGGATATATATCTGTCTTACATATATAATGATTTTTATAAAATATGATTATTATTTATGAAATTTTTATTGTTTCATTATTAACTATTATTATTTAAACTGAGTTTAATTTGTTTTTTTTTGTTTTTTTTTTTATCAGCCACCTTTGATCATAAAGTTGTTCAGCAGTTTTTCAAGTACATATGTACCTTATTTATTTATTGTAAGTTTTATTTAATCAATTTTGAAATTAATTAAAAAAAACTGTTAAACATATTTTTTTTTTAATTTTTTATTGCGATATATATATATATATATATATATATATATATATATATATATATATATATATATAGTGTATATATATATATATATATATATATATATATATATATATATATATATATGTATATGTATATGTATATGTATATATATATATATATATATATATATATGTATATATATATATATATATATATATATATATGTATATATATATATATATATATATATATATATATATATATATATATATATGTATATATATATATATATACATATATATGAGGTCTCATAAATGGTCTTAGGGGCAACAATGTCCAACACTTATTTCGAATCCTATATATATATATATATATATATATATATATATATATATATATATATATATATATATATATATATATATATATATATATATGTATGTATGTATATAATATATATATATATATATATATATACATATATATATATATATATATATATATATGTATATATATATATATATATATATATATATATATATATATATATATATATATATATATATATATATATACAGGATTCGAAATAAGTGTTGGACATTGTCGCCCCTCAGACCATTTATGAGACCTCCTAGATGAGGGCAATAAACCATTGTTCATTTATGCAGTAAAAATGAACAATAGTTGGTTGCCCCCATAAATTAAGTTTCAAACACAGTCAGGGGTGCCAATGTCTGACACTTCTTTTGACCCCTGTATATATATAAAAGCCTTGGTGAAAGTAAATTGTTTATTCATAGAAAGTTTGCTTATTTAATAGAAAACTTAACCAACGCACCCTAAAAAGAGAATGTATTAGTTTTTGATAAGTAATCAGACTTTTGGGTTTATATAAAATTAAAGAATTGCACAATAAGTCAAAAAGTTTAGAATTCTCAGTTATTGCACTCTTGAATAGGTAATAAATACAAGAATAGTTTATGATAAATTATAAATATAAAATCTTATTTAGCAGTGATATTATCTACACAAAAAATTACCATTTAAATATATAAATACAGATTCTAGTAATAATACCTTTAATAATAAGTACACCATATCTTTATAGGACATTGATGGTAAATTTTATTAATTATTGCACCACATCTTCTTGAGGCATTGATGATACATTTTAACGTAGTTAAGGAAAAGTTTAGGTTGAGGCAATGAAGGTAACTTATTTATGAAAAGGAAAAACCAGTTAGTTCAATATAACTAAACTATTAAAATATTAGTTTCTATCTTCTCAAAACAGTCATTAGCCTTTTTTTTTTATAAATTTCTTTCAATAACAAAGGTTTTTATTAGAACTTTGCAGTTTATGATTGCTTATTTCCATAGATGACAGTTTTAAGTTACATTTTAGATAATGCATTTTGCATTTTGTTTTTCAGTTAGGTTTTCTTTTTTTTTTTAATAGTCTTAAATTACTTGTGTAAACCCATAGGGAAGTTTAGGGGCAAAAATGTGCTATAGCCTCTACACTCTCGCTATGGCTTAAATTATGTTATATATATATATATATATATATATATATATATATATATATATATATATATATATATATATATATATATATATATATATATAAACAACTCACTAAAATATCATATTAAACAAAATCCACCCCAAAGAAATCGTAAACGCAATATCATATGGTTTAACCCCATTCAACAAAAACGTCTCCACTAACGTCGCAAAAATATTTTTGAAATTACTTGACGAAAATTTTCCTAAAACACACAAACTAAATAAAGTCTTTAACAGAAACACTGTAAAAGTAAGCTACAGCTGTACTGAAAATATCAAAAAAATTATTAAAAATCATAACAAAAAAATTATTTTCCCAAAAAATGAAAATAATGACAAAAAATGCAATTGTCGAAAGGAAGCAGAATGCCCCATGAATGGAAAGTGTAAATCCACAAACGTTATATATAAATGTATCATCGCAGCTAAAAATCAGCCCAACAAAGTGTATATTGTATTAACGGAAGGCGAGTGGAAAAACAGATACAACAATCACAAATCATCATTCAATAATGTTAAATACAAAAAGTCCACCGCCTTATCAAACTACGTCTGGGATTTGAAAAACAATTTTTAATACAATACTTTTTAAAAACAATTCACATTATTATTAAATTGTATTTTTATAACAGACATTAAAACATACAACAACTTTACATATATTAACCAAAAACAAATTAATAATAACATTAACCTTAACTACTAAACAGTTCCCGTCCCATAACGATCTAAAATACTAATATAAACCGTAAATTTTTCCTAAACACATTGTAGCAAAATTAACTTTTGACTACTTGCCTGATGATTGTGGTAACACATGAAACTTTAAGTCGCAATATAATATTATAAATATTAGCATTTAGCTAATTCCTGATACTGAGGGTAACAGTAATATATATACTATATATATATATATATATATATATATATATATATATATATATATATATATATATATATATATATATATATATATATATATATATATATATATATATATATATATATATATGTATATGTATATATATATATGTATATATATATATATATATATATATGTATATATATATATATATATATATATATATATATGTATATATATATATATGTATATATATATATATATATATATATATATATATATATATATATATATTTATATGTTATCAATTTCTTAGGCTGCAGATCTTTTAACTGGGGTTGTTATGTTCTTAGTAGGAAAAAATTTTGTTATAACTCAGGTAAGGTTTTGAAATTTTTTAATAAATTAAAATTGTTAGAAAGTATTATGTTATAACATATAACATTTAACACATTAAATACTATCTTTTACATATATAGTTACATTAAATTAACTAGCATGTTATAAAACTACATCATATATTAGCTGATAATATTTATAGTTACAAAATATTTGTCTATTATCTAATTTCTATTGTCAAAAACACACAATTGTTTATATATTAACATATACTTACTATCAACTTATTATAAATCCACCAGGGTAAATCAAAACAGTTTGTATTTTAAATAGTATTAAAACTATATTTAGTTTTAGTTTATCGTTTTAATAGTATTTCTGTCATTTATAATAACATAAACTTCTGGAATTTATAACAACCTTACAAATTATATATCCAAATTTAACTTTACAAAACAATAATATATTAGACTAATATTTAAAATATATATATACTAAATATTAAACTTAATTAGTATTATCTTTATTCTGAGGGTTGAGTTTGTTATTTTTATTATCTTTTATTTAAGACTTTGGTACTTTGATTATTATTAAATGTTTTTTATTGTTTTTATTAACTATTATTAAATGCTTTGTTATCAGATATGCAGAATCTTTAAACAACTCCAGCTTTCTTTTTTTCTTTGGTCTCCGATGTTCAGAAGCTCTAAAAATGTTGGATGAAAAAAAAATCATGAGTTTTAATGACTTAGAACTTACTGTTTTTAAGCCTGGAGTCACAGATTCTTGGAGTCCTTGCTGCCATTTTTCATAAGAATTCTAGATTCAAATAATGATTATTTCTCAAACCGCAAAGTCTTAATTTTTTTCCTAAAAATTGTCCACAAGCTTCTTTACATTTCTGAAACTCACTAATACCAAAAACCAGGATATTAATATTTTTTTGTGACTTTCAAATCTGGAATCTTTTTTGGGACTCTGCATCCCTGTTTTTTATAGTGGTCTACTGTGTTATTGTGTGCATTGTTACTTTAGATGTTATTAAACACTTTTTTATTTCAATCAATTGCTTTTGAATCTTTGTTGATTAAATGTTTCGTTACTTTGATTAAATGTTATTGAATGTGTTGACATGACAACTAATGAATGCTGTTTTTTTTGCTTGCTTTTTTATAATTTACTTTTTTACTTCAATTTTCATTTTTGTGATTTTTTTTTTTTCAAAACAGCTAGTGATGCAGGAAAAAGATAAAAAGAGTTATGCTAAGGATGCAGCGGTATTGATCTTAAGCAAAGACCAGCTGAAAAATACTGCACTTGTTGCTATGGCTGTGTGAGTTAATTATTTCAAATTTAGTCCATAAAAAAGCTGTTTTTTAAAGTAGAACAAGTTTTACTTATATTTTTTATATATTTAAAACATTTCAAGACAAACCAAATTTTTTATTGTTTTTTAACTGATAAAATTATGAAAATGTTTGTTCTATTCTTTCAGTGGTTCTAATGAAGATAACAGTGATTATGTCACATCGTTGTTTTGGAAAAAAAGAACATGTTGCTTTGAGAATTTTTTTGGTTTTTTTTAACAGTTTTTTTAATTATTAAGTAACATTAAAATAAATTTTATTAAAAAAATTTTATAAAAATAAATAAAATAAATAAATTTCATCTATTTTGCTAGTGTAGAATTGTACAGAAGTGTACAATATCCTTTTTTTTTTTGTGTAAAAGCAAACAAAAAATGTTTTAACATATATCTTTTAGAAGTAATGTGTTTAAATACTTCTTTTTTAATTGTTACAGTTGAAAATAATTTGAATATTATATATATTTTATCTAACTTAAATATATAATATTAGCGGAAAAACGAGTTAAGTGCAGTACTTCCAGGGGTGTGACATCAAGTTTGGAATTTCTCACTTATGAAGCGAGCGCTCTATTACAATACCGCTACCGCATTTTGGATACCTTATTTGGTATTTTTTCTGCACAGAAACCATATTTTAAATAAAATTTAAAAAAGAGAGAAATTGTCTTTTATTGTAACAAGCAGTTATTGTTGAATAAACTATCTTTTAATGGAGTATTAGCTAATGAACCAAATCATGAACCAAATTATTAACCATTTATTAATTATAAACCAAATCAAAAGATTTATTAAAAGAAATTGTCTTGATTGCATGTAGCAAAATATTTTTAGTAAGTCTCTAATTTTCTAAAAACACAGAAAAGCAATTTATGCAATTGCAATATCAATGTGTTACTCTGTATGATGGAGTATTTATTAAATAAAGTACTTGTTAAACATAGTCAAAATTATTACCTAAAAGCATATGTTAGTATATATGCTATCCTATATCCTGTAAATTCAAATATACATTACTATATTTAGATTTAAAGGGTTGCACAGTTTATTATAACCTCATAATGATACATATTAAAGGTAATATATATATTTTTCTTTAAGTTATTTACTGCATCCTTATTCAATAATAACATGTGCTGCCCAATCAAGTTTAATAGTGAACAATTTACTCTGTGTATTACTGCTACTTGCTCTTGTAAAAGGTAAGCTTAAAAAAATATAACATATTTTTAATGTTTCAGCATATTTTACTGAAAAATTTACTTTGATATTTGTTGTGCGTGAGAAAAAATCTATGCACGCATAAGAGAGAAGGAGCTAGTTTGACTAATGAAGGTTTAAGATTTTTGTATTAATAATTTTGTTTGATGTAAATTTACTAAGCGTGAGTTCTTTTGATGTAAATAACTATTAAATAAGCATGAAGAAATCTTTTTATATATGTAAAATCTTTACATTTTATTATATTTGTTAACTTTTGATATATTCCCAAGTGTTTTTTTTATTTTTTTTGAATGTATAGCTGTCTTACTTTAAAAAAAAATTGATTTTTTTTTATTTTCAGGCTGGTCACTAATTGGAAGTATTTGTGCAGCGGTTCTTACATACTTATCATTCTACCCAGTGATTTTTCTGGCGCCTATAGTTATAAATACTTTTAATGTACGTTGGTTGCTTTTTTTTTGTTTTATTTTTGTTTTTGTTTTTGTTTTTTGCAATAAATAATAACCCTAACTGTTTTGAAAAAAAATTTTATTAACTTAACTAAAAATTTTGCAACATTAAATTTTAAATGCGTATGTGATTAAATTTAAATACCCTATATATGTATAGCTTCACTTGCAAAATATGATAAGTAAAATGTTGCAATATTTTTTAGGACATTATTGTTGCAAAAAGTATTTTCATAAATTAATTATTTTCATTTTTGCAAATTTATTCGTAGTCATATTCCTACTCAGTTTTATGATTTGTTACAATTTTTAGATGATTTTTTTTTTTTTGTAAAATCATCAAAATCATCAGTTTTAGAGAAATAAGTAATCTTCAAAATATTTATTAATATCTTTGTTTAAAAAAAAAAAATTTACACAAGTACTTAGATTATGTAACTATATCTCTTTGATTTTTAGATATCTACATACAAAAAGATTTCAATTTGCAAATGTTTATTTGGATATGTAATTACTCTTGCTTGTTTGTTAAAATGCTCTTTCATGGTCTATGGCACATGGAACTTTATATATTCTGTTTACAGTTTTATGTTAGTAATTCTTATCCAATAAAATTTTTTTAGTTCTTTTTTTTATCTTTACTATAACATTTGATATTCGAAGTTAATATTTTTTTAGATTAATATTTAAAGCAACCAAAAATATAGATATTTTTTTTGTAAAATATATATTTTCAAGCAAGTTAGATATTTTTCAATAGCGTTTTTTTATAGCATTTAATAAATTTAGTAAGCAGTACAATAAACTATTTTATTCAATAATAATCAGCATTTTGGTTTGTAAGATTTTAATAATTTCTGTTTGTAATGGTGTTTTTTAAATGTTTAAATTTTTTTACGATTTCACAATAATTTAAATGTTTCTGTGAATTTTTACTAGTTTGATTTGTGCAAATTTGATTTAATTAAGGAAAAAAACAATAAAATTCAATAATTACTAAAGTGATTATTTAAAACTAGGGCATTCAATACCGGTATACCGAAAAGCGGTATCCCGGTATACCGGCCTTTTTTCCAATACCGATACCTAGCTCTTAATACCGGTATAGACCAGTATTTCAGTTATTTTTCTTATCGGACAGAAATTACTTGATGAGACTTCGTTCGAGTTTGGACACAAATATTTTTAGAGAGTTATTAGCACGAAAATATCAAATAAAATTTCAACTTATTTTTAGCCAAATGTTTTAAATAAAATGACGGCCACCAATGGCTTGCCATTCAGGGTTTTTATAACATCCAATAAAAAACTCGCTGATTGCTCAAGGTTTTGACATGTCAAAAGCATCCGAATCCATTAGCCAAATAGTTATGAAATATGCTACTAAAATTCTAAACTTGATAATAAAAAAATTATCTGAACTTCAACATCAAGGAAACTGATTTAGTCTTACATTTGACGAGTGAACTTTTGTAAAAAATAGACATTATTTGAACATTAATGTTCATTCTTAAAACAGATTTTAAAATTTAAGTTCAGCACAAGTTAATGGACATTTCGGTTATGAAGAAAGTTGACGATTAATGTCCATCAACCAAGAACTTTGACTAACCCATGGAATCCAATTGGATGCAGTAGACGTCTTGTATAAAACAACAGTCCTGGGCTCAACAGATGGTTATTTTAAATATGATGAAGATAGTGCTAGTGAGATTTCAGATGAATATAATGAAGACCATTTAGACGGATTAAGGATTTTTCAGAGCTCACCAAACTCAAATGAACTTGCAAATAATTTGGCTCTATTGATAAGCAAAGTTAAAATGTTGTAAAGCTGTTCAGGCGATCACCAACAAATAATGAAATCATTCATGTTTATGTAAACACTGAACATAGTAAAGAACTGGCAGTAATATTAGAAAATAAAACCAGATGGAACAGCTTACTTTTTATGCTAAAGCGTTTTTATAAATTAAAAATTTCATTCAAAAAGCCCTGATTGACCTAATTTTAGCTATTAACTTTATGGAATCTGAATTGGAATTCATATTATCAACAGTTTTTATGTTCCTACCAGTGAAATTGGCTGTAGAGGCTGTATATTGGAGAGATGCTTATCTTCTATCAGCTAATACTACCTTGGCATATTTGGCATTTTTTGATTGGCTGCAAAATTTGGGCTAAAGATTATACAACAATATGGCTTCCTTATTTAAAAGAATATAAGAAAGGCACACAAATTTATCTTATCTTATGCAATTTCTTTATAAAGGTATATCTGAACCAAAATTTTTTGAGGTAAACTCAAAAAATTTTGGTTCAGATATTATATTTGATCGGCTAACTAAAACTACTTTGGTAAATTTAATTGTCCATCTCATCCAGCGGCTCTCATCCTTCCAAGCTGTAACTACAGCATTGCCATCCAAAACATACTATGACAAAGATACAATAATGTGCAAAAACAAACCTTTGAGCTTGACATTCCAGAAGCAGCAGGACATGGCCATAAATAATAAGATAAAAATGAAAATTGTACCAAAAACAAATCGAAATAATAATGATTTGACTAAAATGATACGAAAAGAAATTTCTATATTTGAGGAATAAGGTACATGTGGTACCAACTTGAAGTTGGTAAATGATTATACTTTAACTATTTCCCCAACAAGCGTAGAAACTGAACGGACTTTCTTTTCATTGGGAATGTTATGTGCGAAAATTCGATCATCTTTAAATGAAGAAATTTTTAATGAAATTTTAAATACTTTATGTTTTTTGCAGGCCTATTTCAATAATAAATAATTTTTTTTATACTTTTTTTTTTTTGAAATGAATTAATTTCAAATAATAGTTTAACTTAAATAATAAAGTTTCGGAACCGTTTGTTTTGTTACTTCTTTTTATTAATACTTTTTGGAATATTTATAATATATATCGGTTTTCACTAAATCTAATATCGAAAAACCGGTATTTAATTTTTGATCTGGTATTGAAACCCCTATTTAAAACTAATAAAGTAGTCAAACCCAAAATTTCCGATTCCAAAATTTCCAAAGTAATCAAACCCAAAATTTCCAATCTTTTTTTGTACTCAAGATGTCTTAGCTCTCAATATTTTTAGCAATAGAGTTGTTGATGGATGGAATAGTCTACCAGCCAAAGTTGTTTAATCTACTACAGTTAAAAGCTTCAAATTAAATTTGCAATTGGTCGACTTAAAATCAATAACAAACAAGATAAAAATCAAGAAAGCTTATTATTAATGTTTTTATTATTTAGTGACTGAACTAACTTGTTCATTAATTAATTTATACCGGCTGTCATAGATATTGCCTGGCGCTTTATCTCAACAGCATTAATTATTATTATTATTATTATTAGTTTTAGTTCAAAATAATAGTATAAAAATAATATCAATAGTTTTAGTAATGCAGTAAATATATTGAAGCAATAATAAAAGATAAAATTAACATTCTTTAGATATTTGAATAAAAATTTCCTCATTATTTTTTGAGAAATATACTGCTGTAGTCTGACAACTCATTTTTTTAAATTTTTTTTCAAAACTCTTTCTCTTAAGGGGTTGTTCATTAATTACGCGTCACTAAATTTACTTAAAAAAAATGGATATAGAAGATTTTAAGCACTTTTATGTGGTGATTTTCATTAAACTTAATGGGCTATTTTAGTTTTTTTTTATAACTTAAGGCTTTGTGAGAGAGAACTTTTGATCTCCTGTCAGTTTCAATAGTCAATACTCATTTTTGAAGCTTTTTGAGTGATTTTTTTTTACTGTCTTTATCACTCAGTATTGTTCTTTCTTACATAACTAATGAAAATGTTTTTCATTTTCTGTATCATTAAAAATTTTCTTTGGTCATAAAATCAAAGTTTGTGCTAAATGTTGTCATTTTTTCTTAATTTTTAGATGTAAGCAATTAAAATATAACACTTTTAATTTATAGACAAATATTGTTGCATAGTGTAACATTTCTTCTTTATAAATACCAAAATCTCAATGATTATGAGTTGATATTGCAATTAAAAATTACTTTGTCTTTATAAATTTTAGGCTAATGGTTAACGATCTTACTCCAAATATGGGTTTGACTTGGTATTTTTTCTCAGAAATGTTTGATCATTTCAAGTTATTTTTTCTGTGCGTATATCAAATGAGTGTGTTTGTTTTTACGATTCCAATAGCAGTAATTTTTAGGTATGATTTTGGCATTATTTTAGTTCAATATTTATTTAGGGTTTAATACTTTTATTATATTTTATTATTTCCTTAGTTTTTTTTTTTTTTTTTTTCTAACAATATTATTAAGTTTTCAATTCAATTTTAATATTTTCATTCTGTTCATACTGACAATAAAAAGATTTTAAACATGTTTTAAATTGTTATTGTATAAAACAGCAATAAAATAAGTTGTTTCGACAATATAAAATATGTTCATATAAGACATAATAAAGATAAAATATATTTTAATATCAGTATAACAGGTTATATCTTTTTTATTATTTCCTCTAACAAATTCTGAAACATCTTTTAATAAACTCAAAAATAAAATTTAAAAATTTTTGTATTTATCAAGATTTTTTTATTCTTTAATATTACTTTATACAGATATTGTTTATTTTTTATTTAAATAACATTATATTTATTTATGTTTAATTTTCAGTTATTCTATTTTCCATTACTATTTTTTAGAAAATACCCAATATTGATATGCTATAGTTTGTTTTCACTTGTGTCACTGTTTAAATCATACCCAAATTTTGGTGATTTATCTGTACCTATGGCAATGCTGCCATTTTGGTGTTACCTTTATCGATGTAAGTTTTCTTTTAACTTATGGTTCATAAGTTTATGTGAAACTATTGTTGCAGACATTTTTTTTTTTTTTACTTTAAATTTAGATACTCGAAATGTATTATTTATTGGAACAATTTTTATTGTGGCATCAGCACTTGCACCTTGTATGTGGTATCTATGGATATACGCTGGAAGTGCCAATGGAAATTTCTTTTATGCTATCACTCTGCTCTATGCTCTAGCTCAGGTGAGTTTATCCAGGTATTATCTAACAAGTGATAATTAAGTTTTGGCACAAATTTAAACTTAAATTTAATGCTAGAAATTTTATTTTAGATCTATCAAATACAATATAATAATGTCAATTAAGTCTATTATAAAAAAATAATAATGAAAAATAATTAGAGTCCAGATCTCCTTATTTTATCAAGCCTTTTCCTGACTGATAAAGCATGGTTTTGTACAAACTTTAAGCCCATATTGCCTAGGCATCTAACTTTTTTTCTCAACCCAACAAAATTTTTTGCTGTCTAGTTGTTTTTCAAAACCTCCATTTTCAAATTTCCCCAAAAATCTTCCCCCAAAAAAAGATATATTCTGGTCTTCCAAAAATTTAGTTATCTTAGAAGCATAATGAGTGGACTCTAAGTCAGGTCAAAACACATAACCATCAAAACTATATATTTTTTAATAAATGGAAGGAGTTTGTTTTTTAGAATTTCACAATAAATGTCTTGGTTAATCATGTTTCTAGATTTTCAAAAAAAAAAGGTTTTGTCAATCCCTTTAGTGATATAGCAAAGCATTTGGGTCGAGCCAGCTTTTTTTGTTGTTCAGTTTGGAGTGGTTTTTTAATTTTTTTTTTCTTCACTTGGTGTTAGTACATATTTTTAACAACTTGTTATCATATGGTTAAGAAATTTTCTAGCGGCTACACTTTAAGAACGCTCTGATTTATGATTGAACATATTTTTCAGTTTTCTAATGTTACTTTTTGTTGCTTTTTTTATTCGATGACCATTGGCAATTTTTCTTTTTAATGTACCAGTTTCTTTTACTTGCTTGATCCAACGATATATACTACGTTTTAAGGCTAAATGTCCGATGAAATTCTTTGCAATTTTATTTGATTCTATTTCAGGATTCTGAACAATGAATTTGTATAAATTATTTTTTATAGTATTGTACTTTGCCATTTCCTGTAATTTAAAAAAAAAAAACGTAGTGAAAATTTTTTATCAAACTTTATGATAAAATGCAAGAGTTTTATGTTGAGTAATTTGCAATCTATATAAGTGTGTAATAATAAAATTAAATGCACTTTTGTATTTGTGCCAAAACTTAATTATCACCTGTTATGATTTAGCTCAGATGGGTTTTTCCAGGTATTACATTTCTCTATGGTTTAGCTCAGATAAGGTTATTTAGGTATTACAAAGTTTTTTTTGTTTAAACATACATATTGCTTGTCCAAATACTCAGTCAATAAATGTGTAAATGCTGTATATTAAAAAACAGACAGTGTTTAAATTTTTTCCTTGTTTTCATCTTAAACCAATTGTTTATCATAACTTTATAATTTAATGCCACTCATCCAATTTTTAAATGTTTAAAAATCGCTATTTATAAAGGTTTTTCAAATTTATAAAAATTAAAGTAGCAAAAAATACTGCTAATTAGTTGGAACAATAAATAACTAATATCTGTAAATAATTTAAACCTAAAAATATTTTCTGATATTTTATACTAGCTTAATATTTAATATACTTCCTCTTGTTTTAAAGTTTTACCCTGTACTTATTTTGCATAAAAAATTCGTGTTTTTTTATTTTTGTACATTATTTTGACATAACTTGGTCAAAGTATTACTACCCAGTGGGCACACGTCGTCCAGAGGTCGTCCATTAGACGTCTCCTGGACGTCCGTTCCCCACTGGGTAAATAAATAAAAATTTGTTTAGTAATATATAAAAATTTAAAATATATTGTTTAAGTAATTTGATAAGTTAAGTAATACAGGTTTTAAAAGTATTTGAAAATCATACACAATGGTAAAAAAATTTAATCTTTTATAATCTTCTTTATACTTTTTAGGATTGAATTCTTACCAATCTTTAAACACATTTTTATATCCTGTTTACACTAGAGAACTGGAATACAAATTTACTGCGTACCGTTTATTATTTTTTATATTTTCCAAATAAGAAATATTATGCTAAAACCAGACTGACGCAGAATAAGACATTGTCTAGTTGGAAGCTCTCAGAAGTTGAAACTAGATGAATAGGCAAGATAACATAATGCAAATAATTTTTAACCCTTTTTTATGAGTAACAAGACAGTTATTTTACTAAAAAAAAGCATTGTTCGTAACAAATATGTACTATTGGTATAAAAATCCTAATCATTTTTCACTTTTCTACTAAATCTTAATTTTGACATATTTTAGGCTAAAAACGAAATTAATCGAATCAAATTTGGCTGCACTCAATAATGTTTTTTAATTTTATTTTTATTTTTAATAGTTTGTGCAAAGAATCATGTTTTTTTGCAGACGTGCAATTTTCAAACTTTTTGGTTTTTTAGCCTGCTCTAATTCTTCTATAACTTTTGTTTTTTGGCTCAAAAATATAAAAAAGTAACTTTTTTATTAAGATTATCAACAAGTTGTAACTTAAAAAATATTTTTTTGATTAAAAAGCATCTTCGATGCTTAGAGTTGATGCAAATTATTTACCATCCCTCTGTTACTTCCTTGCATTCGATTTTTGGCTTAAAAAAGATTTGGGCGTAAAAAAAATTCGCCTAAAAACGCGAATCTTTATATCAAATTCGGCAGTACTCAGAATTATCCTACTAAAGCTTTTTTTTTTTTTAATTAATTCTTTTATTATGTTAATGAACATTTCATGCAGTCAGGTGTAATTTTCTAATTTTTTTAGGCCAACCCTAATATATGTATATATATATATATATATATATATATATATATATATATATATATATATATATATATATATATATATATATATATATATATATATATACATACAAACATACATACATACATACATACATGCATACATACATTTTGTTTTGTTTTTAGATATTCTTACTTTCTGATATTTTATATGCATTCTTAAGACGTGAATATCACTTACTACATGGTATGAATCCAAAAACTAGTTCTGGTCAAGAAGGAATTATAGTTATGAAGTAATTCCAAATATGCTGTTTTTCAATTTAATTTATTTTTTAGAGTCCATGTAAAATAGACATGATATTCTAATGTATTTACAAGTATTCTTTTTTTTTTGCTTTATACACCTCCCTGTGGAAATGAGATCGCTATTGTTGAGGAGGCCACTTTTTTTTCTTTGTTATTATAATCCTTATCCACCTTTTAACTCCCAAACACGAACAAGACCACTTCACAGAGAAACAAGTTGATTAAAAATATGGTAAAAATAAACACTCAAGATTCATTTTATGTTACTAAAGTTTTTAATTTTTGTTAAATTTTTTTTTTTTTGAATTTGTTAAATTCTAAAAATAAAGAGCTTTTCTACTTTCATTTTGGATCTGTTTTCAAAATAATATTATTAAACTATGATGTTCGTTTCACCTAAAAAATAATATTATTAAACTATGATGTTCGTTTCACCTAAAAAGCGTATTTATTTAAAATCTTTTTCAAATTTGAACAAGCGATCGTTTTTCGTCTTTTCATAATTCAGAGACCTGATCATTTAACGAAAATACGCGGTAGTCAACAAAATATAATACTGACATAATATTTTAAAATTATTATTATTATTATAGTTGTAGCCGTAAAATATACATACCATAAATACATACAGCGAGCAGGGAAAACACCCTTCTATAAACAACCAATTTTATAAATATTCGTTGCAAATTTTATCCTCAACCATGGATCTAATCTAATTTTAAAAAAAAAGTACAGTTGAGTATAAAGTTACTTGCTCGGGTAGATCATTCCAGTATTTTGCTTATCTATTACATAGTTGGTTGTGTCTTGGAAGACAGTTTAGAACATATTCACGTCTTATTTTACGATGGTGACCACGTGACAATGAGTTAATAAATTTTGGTTGATATTGTTATTATATCAAATCGACGTATTAGTTTAAAAATCGTACGTACCGCAACTCGAGTGATGGTAGATTTAGTCTTAACTATTTCGTAGTATTGAAGATTTTTTAAAGCCTATTTTGTTGTTTTACGTTGAACAGATTCAACCAAAGCTACGTCAGTTTTTAAATATGGGGCCCAAACAGACACTTCAAGGTGTGGTCTTATAAACACTTTATATAATTTGAGAGCCATTTTTTTATCAACGATGGTTAATGTCCTTTTTAGCATACCAAGAATTTGTAATGATTTGGAGATAACTGATTAAATATGTGTACTTCACTTGAGGTTAGATGTAAAAATGATTCCTAAATCGCGCTCTTTAGTAGAGCTTCTTAGGCTTTCATTTATACCTTGGTTATTTTGCAAAAAGTAACTATACATAGGATTGGTTTTACCAAGTTTAATTTAAGTAACCAAGTGTTTGACCACTCGTACACTAAGCGTAGACTGTCCTGCAGATCAACAAAATTAGTCTGCGATAAAGTTTTAGAAAAAAGTTTAGTATCGTCGGCAAATACTTCAGAAGTTTCTGTAAGTTGGGCAAGATCGTTTCTTAAAACAATAAAGAGGAACTGGCCGAGAACAGAACCTTGAGGAACGCCACTAAGAACATCAACCCAGTCAGAGCTAGTATTGTTAATTGTAACGCGTTGCTTTCTGTCTACTAAGAAGGAAATATTCCATTGTAGTAGTTTGCCATTTATTCCAAATGATTTTAATTTTAACATGAGTCTGGTGTGAGGTACGGAATCAAAAGCTTTAGAAATGTCAAGGTAGATTATATCTATAAACTGGTGCGATGTTAGAGAAGACAAAATGATATCAAAAGACTCTATTAGATTGGTTACGCAAGACTTATGATGAGGGAAGCCATGTTGAATTGTAGAGAGCAGATTATTATGATGTGCTTCAAGATTTTATTATTTACAACTTTTTAAATATTATGAACGCAACAGAGGTAAGTGAAATAGGGCGATATTTTTCAGGAAGTAGTTTGTCTCTTTTTTTTTATAGATCGGACTAATATTTGCTAATTTCCAGAGAGTTGGTATTATTCCAGAATTAAAAGATTCATAGAAGTTTTTTGTAAGCGGAATTGTGAAGCTTTTGGCACATATCTTAAGTATTAAAAAGGTACAACTCGTCAGGTCCAAAAGATTTGTAATAGTTTAAATTGGTAAGTTCATTAATAATGTCTGCAATAGAGAAATCCAAGTTGTTATTATAATTACATTTAGGTTTAACTTCACTTTTATTTAACAATGGAAAATTTTCGGAACTTTTAAGAGTAACATAGATTTAAATTGAACATTTAGATGCTCAAGTATATCGGGAAGAGTTTCAGTAATTTCACCTGAAGCATTTTGAGAGAACGAATTTTATCTTTAATTTTTAGTTGTTTGTTAATGTATTTGTCCACGAGTTTTGGGTTGTTCTGAGATTTTGATATAATTTTTTTTTCATATAATATTTTTGATTTAAATATTTCCGCTTTAACGGAACGATTAAGGGTGGAATGCAAGAAGCAAACTTGAGTCAAGTTCGACTTGAACTTTAATTTGTAACCAATAGCGGCAGAGTATTTTTTGAGGGGAAAACCCATATTCTGTCGCTATTGGTTGCAATGTAAAGTTCAAGTCGAGCTTGACTCAAGTTTGCTTCTTGCATTCCACCTTAAGACGATTGTAATTTGTTTTGAGATCTTTATTCTTCCATTTAGTTGAAGCTCAGAATAAGCTTTTAATATGTAGAGTAACCCAAGGATCATACTTTTTTTTTGTTTTTTATCTTGGGGATAAAAAATTCGCAACCAGTACGATAATAAGAAATTAACATATTGAACATTTGATCCGCATTTTTGTGTAGAAATATAATATCCCAATCGATTCATGCAATAAAGTTTAATATTGAATTATAATCACCCAACTGGATTTAATATTTCTAGTTGTTGTAATAGTTTTTCCTGTAATAGTAGATTTTTGGACAAGTTGATTTAACTTGTTATTGCTTTATGACTTGCTCTAGTTCGGATATTTTGGTCAGCCATTTTGTAGATTCAGCTTCAAGAATTTTTTTAATTGCGTTATTGATTTGTTTTAATTGAGTTGGGGTTAAATTAGTCATCGCAAAGGGTTTTTTTTTTTTTTTTTTTTTTACAATATACATTTAAATTTAATATGCAAATGAAATATATAATTTAGGTATTTATAATTTCAAATATATTTAGGTATATGTAATTTCAAAGCGTAAATATTTTTTATAAAAATATAATATTTTTTTATTAATAGTAATAATGATATTATGAATAAAATATTTTATATACTATATAAACGTGATTATATATCTTTTTAAAACCAAAGCAAACAAATAGATTAAAAAATTAAAACAGGTGCAACGCAGTTTGATTTTTGAATTACAAGAGAACTAAATAAAAATAAAATGTGTATATATATAAAAAGAAAACTTTATATATAAAGTTGTAAACTTGTTAAGATCGTCGAACAATATAGATCTTATTTGCCTAAACTACACCGAGTCCGCTAATAAAAAATCATTTTCTTTTTAAATCAAAATGTTTTACGACTATGTTTTAACATTTATGAAAAATCACTGCTGATCTGTGGAGCCAGAGTTTAAAAGATTGTTAAGTTTAGTTACATATAGTTGCAAGATTGTTAAGTTTAGTTGCACTTAAAAAACCAACTTAATAAATTACACAAAGAAACATAAAATCTTATAAAAATTGTTTTGGCGAGAAATCAGGTTTCACAAATGTAACAGTTTCACTAATACAGTATTAAACCTGTTTCATTAATATCTTTGGTGTAATATGCAGCTCTTTCTATAGGCGTTTAGGTTTTTTTTGTTTTTTTTTTATCTTAATATCACGGCTACGGTGCTTTACGCTCAGATAAGAATATGGTGCTGTATAGAGTCTTGAAAGTTGTTGACATGTAATTGTTAATAGGAAAGGGCCGCGGCCCTGTAGAGTTCCACAAAGCCTTCCTCGGCGCCGAGGAAGGCTTTGTGGAACTCTACTTGTGACACTTTATGAAAAGTTGCTTTTATAATGTAATACTATATAATTTAAAAAAGACTGGAAATAGTTAATTATCTAATCTAAAAGAAATTTAATTAAACAAAATTAGACTTAATTTTATGCTATTTTTTGAACACTAGGGATAGTACTTTTACTTATATAAGCGTAAATTACTTAAAATAGCTCATATAAAAATTTATAATATACTTACATTTAAAAGTAATTTGTTTTTTGTTTTTTTACATATAACATTTTTTTTACATATAACATATATAAAACTTAATTACTTAAGTAAATTTTTTAAATGAGTAACTTAAATGCAGTAGTAGTGTAGTGGTAGAGCGCTCGCTTCACATGCAAGATGTTCCGTGTTCGATCCCCACCACGTCCCTGGTAGTACCGCGCTCAACTAGCAGCGGCCGTGTTCATGTTTCGGAGTTGAGAGAGGGTTATAATCACAAGTAGCCATCTGTAGTAGCCTCATCAGCCTTGGGGAGGTGAACTACAAAAAAAAAAAAATAACTTGAAAAAGTAATTTACTTTTACAAGTAAAAGTTTTTTGCATTTTTACTTTTACTTGTAAATGTAAGTTACTTTTAATGGTAAGTCGTGTAAAGTAATTTACTTTGAAAAATAATTACTTTTTATATGTGCATAATTTCTAAGCTATGGGTAATTCATGCATGAGTAAACCTTTACTAAGTCACTGTTCGTTAGTGAACGCTTTTTCTTCAGGTTTTTTTGTATTTTCCTTTTCAATCAACTATTTTGTTATGGTAATATGATGCAATATAACATTTTTGGTATCCGCAAGGACATCGACTGCTAAAACAGTTTTCAAAACTATAAGTCATTTAAATTATCAAATATATTTTATATGATTAATAGAATGTTTTTCAGATATAATCTTTTATTGCGTTTTACCATATATATTCTATTTGAAAAACGAGGGTAAGAAAAGCTGTTCAATCTTCTAGTGTAGGTTGTGGGCATCCAATAACCTTTTTTTTGTTGCGTTGGTGTCCAACCCGAACAAGGAAGATTGGAAAAACAAAATCTTATTCAATTAAAATAGTGCTTTAGAATAAACTTGTAATTTTTTTTCAAA